ACATGGGGCGGGCACCGCGGCTCACTAGGCTAATCCTCCGCCTGCAGCGCCGGCACACCAGGTTCTCTTCCCAGTCGGGGCGCCAGATTCTGTCCTGGTCACTCCTCTTCCTGTCCAGCTCTGCTGTGGCCCAGGGAATGCAGTGGAGGATGGCCCAAGTGCTTGGGCCCTGCACCCGCATTGGAGACCAGGAGAAGCACCTGGCTCCTGGCTTCAGACCAGCGCCTGTAAAAAAAAAAAAAAAAAAAGAAAGAAAAGAAAAGAAAGCATATTCATTAACTAGGTATCCACACCCAACTAAGAAATTGGGTATCCATGAGTTAACCTTTGTCTTACCCCACATTTCAAAAAAAATCAAAGTCAAGTGTTTGGTCTGGTGATTAAGACGTGGGTGGGGATGCCCACATCCCGTAGTGAAATGTCTGGGTTGAATCCCAGCTCTAATCCTGATTCTAGCTTCCTCTAATGCACACCCTAGGAGACAGTGGTGATGGCTTAAGTGTTTGGGTCTCTGTCACCCAAATGGAAGACTTGGATTGAGTTCCAGGTTCCTGGCTTTGATCTGGCAGTGTGGATGGTTACCTCTCTCTATTCATCCCTTTCTGCCCTACCTCCCTCCCCCACTATATCCTGTGTCTTAAATAATTTTTAAATGTTTTTAGAGAATCAATTCCAGGAAAATTTAGAATCTACATATAAATAAAGCATTAAAGCTTCCATATAAAGATAATCATTGTAACCATCCATGGGTAAAGATAATTAGGATACAGTACCGCAACCATTAAGGAAAACATTGATAAAATGATTTGTACTAATACAAAGAACTTCTCTTTTAACACAAAAGCATCTTCACAGAACAAAATATTGATAAATTGGGATTATTTTAAAATTATGAACTCTGTTTAGAAAACGACACCATTAGAAGGAATCCCTGTGTAAGAAAAGCTGTTTGCAATACTTATAAAAGTTCTTATAATCAGAAAATCTAACTTCTACAAAGCATCCGGAAAAAAAAGAGGAGATAACTAAATCAGTAGTCAGAAGACTTGAGGAGTCACTTTTAAAAAGAAGAAATACAAACCCATGTACTATATTTTTTTTTTTTTTGACAGGCAGAATGGACAGTGAGAGAGAGAGAGAGACAGAGAGAAAGGTCTTCCTTTACCGTTGGTTCACCCTCCAATGGCCACTGCGGCCAGCGCACTGTGCTGATCCGAAGCCAGGAGCCAAGTGCTTCTCCTGGTCTCCCATGCGGGTACAGGGCCCAAGCACTTGGGCCATCCTCCACTGCACTCCCTGGCCACAGCAGAGAGCTGGCCTGGAAGAGGGGCAACCGGGACAGAATCTGGTGCCCCAACCGGGACTAGAACCCGTGTGCCGGTGCCAAAGGCGGAGGATTAGCCTAGTGAGCCGCGGCGCCGGCCCCCATGTACTATATTTACCCTCCGTAGTTATTTGGTGAGTTCATATTTGCTTTATCCAACTATCCCAGTCATTACTGCACTGTTGCTCAGGGTGCACTGCCTCCTGGGAACTCCAGAGCAGTCATGGTCCTCCCTGTACTTAAGGTGATCAGCACATCACCTACCAGGGAATTGGTGTTTTGATCAAGCCCAGCCATCATGCATCCTAGTGTTGAAGTAATGTGTATCCACGAGGAACAGAGCAGTGGCTAATCTGAGACACTTCAACTTGCAGGCCAAACAACTGTAGAACCCTGTTTTCTTGCAACAGAACTAGCCCTAAGAGTCTGAGCTGCTCACTAGGGAAAGGGGTCATTGCTCTGCTCTTCCCTGTCCCCAAGAGCTCAAGCAGCAGCTATGTCTGCCATTCCATTATTCTTCCTGCCACTGGGATATTACTATGCCTCCTCATCCCAGAGTCCAGAGTCATCACTTTGCAAGCCTTATCTTTCAGGGCCTGAGTTGGCACTGTGCCCTCTTGGTCTGGTTTATGAATTGTACCTGTACCCTGATCCTGTGGCCCAAACCTCCAGAGCTCTTCTCCCTCCCCACAGCTGCGATATTGCTCTGTCTTACCTCAAGTTACAGTCACAGCTACCATCAGCCCTCTGTGTTCCAGATACAGAGTCATAGACTTTCACTGTGCGGTCAGTCTACTTCTAATCCTCCCTCAGAATGAACCTGACCTTTAAGATCCACGGATTGCAATAGGATCTCTGGATCCTGGATCCAGGATCCTGACCCCAAAGCCACACTGAGCCCCTGTGCCTCGAATCCAGCATTGCACCAGCTGCTTGTTGGCATGCCAGACCCAATACCAAGAAGGATTCTTCTAAGCAAAGACTCCACATTGCAGGGAGAATAGGAAGACATTAAATGTCCCTATTTCTGAAGCACCTAAAACCTATGGTGTCACTACTGCTTTACAAATTCCTGTATCCTAGATCAAGGAAGCATCCACTGTCATCATTGTCATTTCTTGCAACTGAAGGAGCTACAAGGAAACTATGACACAGAATTTACTTGGAACCAGACACCATGTCTATGTTCCTAACTGGAGCACTAAGACTTAGCAGATGCAGTCTTTCCCTCTGAAACCTATTCTGTAAGGTATAAAAGAATATTGTTTCATCAGGTGTGTATACATCAATACAGGGGCATAAGAAAATAAAATGGCAATAAAGCATGACACACAAAGGAATACAATAATTCTCCAGTAACTGATCCCAAAGTAAAGGAAATTTGTAAATTCCCTGGAACAGAATTAAAAATACTGATCTTAATAAAACTCAGTGAGCTACAAGACAGTACAAAAAAAAATTCAACAAATCCAGAGAAGAATGCATTATCTGAATGAAAATCAATAGATACGGTTTTAAAGGAATATCCAAACAGAAATCCTAGAGCTGAAGGATTTGATCAATGCTTTTTTTTATGTACAATAAAGTGGTGAAGAAGCTCAGTAGTAGACTAGATGAAGCAGAACAAAGAACCTCTGAACTAGAAGAGAGGTCTTTAGAGAGCAAAAAGAGTGAAAAACAGTGAAGGCAGCCTACAAGAATTATGGGATACCATTAGGTGAACAAATACTGCATTGTGGGATTTCCAGAAGGAGAAGAGACAAAGACAAGGACAGAAAGTTTAGTTAACTAAATAATTGCTGAATGTTTCCTATGTCTTAGAAGAGAAATCAGTGTTCAAATTCAGGAAGCTCAAAGAGCTTTAAACAGATTCAAACCAAAGAGTTTCACTCCAAGCAAGATATAAGCATATTATAATGAAACTGTTAGAACTTAAAGAGACAATTGTAAAAGTATCAAGACAGCTACATACAAGGGAATTTCTATTAGTCTATCTAAATTTTTTAGCAAAAATTTTAAGGCCAAGAGAGAATAATATGATATGCTTTAAAATCTGAAATTAAAGTAAAAATTACCATTTAAGAATACTATACCCAGCAATGCTGCACTTGAAAAATGAAGAAGAAATAGTATTTCCAACACAAACGAAATATAAGGAACCTCATCACTATAAGGTTGTTATAAGAAAAGTTGTAAGGCCAGCGCCGCGGCTCACTAGGCTAATCCTCCACCTTGCGGCGCCGGCACACCGGGTTCTAGTCCCGGTCAGGGCGCCAGATTCTGTCCTGGTTGCCCCTCTTCCAGGCCAGCTCTTTGCTGTGGCCCGAGAGTGTGGTGGAGGATGGCCCAAGTGCTTGGGCCCTGCACCCCATGGGAGACCAGGAGAAGCACCTGGCTCCCAGCTTCGGATCAACGCTGTGCGCTGGCCGCAGCACGCCGGCCATGGCAGCCATTGGAGGGTGAACCAACAGTAGAGGAAGACCTTTCTCTCTGTCTCTCTCTCACTGTCCACTCTGCCTGTCAAAAAAAAAAAAAGTTTAGGGAATTGTTCAAGCAGAAACCAATTGCTAACATGAAAACATATGTGAAAGTGTAAAATTCACTGATAAATGTAATATATGTAATCAAATCAAGAATACTCCAGTACTCTTATGGTGCTCTATAAATATTATTATCTCTAGTAGGAATGTTAGAATCAGAGCAATAAAAATTAATAACAACTGTTATAGGTTATTAAAAACACATTAAATGAAAAGATACATTTTAAAGTCTAGAGTGTTTGTATGAGATCGAAGTTATCAGTATAAAACTGTCTACTGTAACTATAAATATTTTATGTAAACCTCATGGTAACCACAAAGAAAAAGAAATCTTGTAGACATAAAATCAATAATGAGAAACAAAGTTATGAAACACTTTGGAAAATCACCAAATCAGAAAATAAATAACAGTGAAAAAACAAAGTATCTGCAAAAAAAAATAAATAATTATCAGAATAACAACATTAAATCTTTACCTATCAACAATTACTTTGAATGTAAAATAGAATCAGTCCTCTAATCAGAAGACGTCGAGAGGCTGAATGGATTTAAAAAAAATAATAAGCTCCAACTGTTTTCTGCCTAGAGGAGACCTACTTTATCCTTAAGGACATAAACATACTGAAAGTGAAAGACTAATAGGAAAGATTCCATAAAAATGGCAATCAAGAGAAAATAGAGGTGATTATATATTATCAAATATATTCCATGTCAAAAAAGTCACTAAAAGAAGTTCATTATTGGCCAGGGCCGCGGCTCAATAGGCTAATCCTCTGCCTGCGGTGCCAGCACCATGGCTTCTAGTCCCAGTTAGGGTGCTGGTTCTGTCCCGGTTGCCCTTCTTCCAGTCCAGCTCTCTGCTGTGGCCCAGGAAGGCAGTGGAGAATGGCCCAAGTGTTTGGGCCCTGCACCCACATGGGAGACAAGTAGGAAGCTCCTGGCTCCTGGCTTCGGATCAGCACAGTGCGCCGGCCGTAGCGGCCATTTGTGGGGTGAACCAAAGGAAGGAAGACCTTTCTCTCTGTCTCTCTCTCACTGTCTAACTCTGCCTGTCAAAAAAAAGAAATTCATTATTTACTAATGAACACTCAATTCATTAAGAGGAAATAGCAACTGTAAATGTATATGTACCCAATAGCAGAGCAACTTATATAAATATTAATGGATATGACGGGAACATTGATATGAATACAATAGTAGTAGAGGATTTCAATTAGCAGTAATCATGAGTCAGATAAATTTCAGTGGCTATGATAATGCCCCTGCTCAAAGCTTAGTAGGAGACTTCAACATTCTGCTTTCAACAATGGACAAATTAATGACAAAAAACTAAGGGAGAACTGAATGAGTTACATTTTAGACAAAATGAACTGAACAAATATAAACAGAACTTTTCATCCAATAACAGCACAGTATGGTAGGCCACAAAATAAGCTTTAACAAATTTGATATCAAAAACTTATCAAATATTGTATCTGACCACAGTGATATGAAATTAGAAATCATAACTAGGAATTTTGAAAAACTGACAAATATTTGAAAATTAAACAGCATATTCCTCCACAACCAATGGGTCACAAAATAAAAAGATTTAAAAATATCTTTGTATTAAGAAAAATGTCAAGAGAAACGTTACACACCCATATCTATGGGATACAGGAAAAGCAGTTATAAGAGGTAAGTATATAGAGCATTCATGCCTACCTCTATAAAGAAGAAAACTCCAGAATAAATATCCTAATATTATACCTAATTAGAAAAGAACAGATTAGACCAATGTTAGCAAGAAGAGGGAATAATAATGATCAGAACAAAAATAGAGAACAGAAAAAAAAAAACATTTAAAAAGTTAATAAAACTAAGAATTTATTTATAAAAAGACTTTTGAAAACCAACAATTTCTTAGCTAGACACCTCAGAAATAGAAATTAAGAAATAATTATGAACATATGCTAGGGACCAGCGCCATGGCTCACTTGGTTAATCCTTCACCTGTGATGCCGGCATCCCATATGGGTGCAGGGTTCTTGTCCCGGTTGCTCCTCTTCCAGTCCAGCTCTCTGCGGTGGCCTGGGAAGGCAGTAGAGGATGGCCCAAGGCTTGGGCTCCTGCACCTGCATGGGAGACCAAGAGGAAGCACCTGGCCCCTGGCTTTGGATCTGCATAGCTCCGGCCATAGCAGCCATCTGCGGGGGGTGAACCAACGGAAGGAAGACCTTTCTGTCTCTCTCTCTCTCTGTCACTGTCTGTAACTCTACCTGTCAAAATAAAAAAAAGACAAAACAATCATATGCTAACAAATTTGATAATTTGAGGAAGTGGACGAATTCATAGAAAAATGAAACCTACAAGGGTTGAATTAGAAGAAATAGGAAGCCAGAGCAGATCAATAACAGAGATTGAAGCAGTAAAATTCCTAACAAAGAAAAACCAAGGTCATGTGGCTTTACATCTAAATTCTACCAAACTTTCAAAGAAAAATTAATACCAGTATTTCTTGAACTCTTTTAAAAATACAGCTCTATAACAAATACTTCCTAGCATATTTTATGAGTACAGCTCACTTGTTATGTAACCCAAAGTCAATACAAGCAAAGCAAACTATAGTCCAATACATATTTGATAAACACTGTTGCGAAAATCCCAATGGGATATTAACAAATCGGATTCAGCAACACATTAAAAAGATTACATATCCTGATCAAGTAAGATTTACCATTAGCAGACAAGATCATTTAATGTACACAAATCAGTGTGACACATTACATTAATAGATGCACTGGTCAATTTTTAATCATTATATTAAAATACTTGAAGCAGCCTGTGGGGAGCAACTCAGACTAGACTAAGTTACTGGAATTAAGACTTATTCTATGCATCTGCTCTCCCACAATATGGCGCTGGGAGAGGAGTAAACAACTTTCACACAGCTGCCTCCAGTTCGACCAGTAACCTGCAGGAGCTGATCCTGCTCCTGATTGGAGGAGAGCAGCGTACTCGGCGTGTGGGTAGCAGAGTTGGGATTGGTGGAAGAGGACTATAAAGGAGGAGAGAGACAACATGCACCAGGAACATCTAAGGGGAACACCTGAGGAACATCTGAGCAGCCCCCGAGAGAGCCGGCCAGCGGTGTGCCGCTCCCCCGTGGAAGTGGGGAAAGTGGCAGGGGGCACCGCCCTTCCATGGAGGTGGAAGGGATGGTAGCCAACCCAGGAAGAACCAGCAGCAAACCTGGGAAGGGCCGAGCAGACAAAAGAGCAGTGCAGGGTTCTGTGTCGTTCCTCCACGAAGAGGGGGAGCGACAGCAGCCAAAATTATAAAAAGAAAGGGTTTCTGTAGCTCACAATTTTGGGGGTTCAAAGTCAAAGCTAGGGTGATTCCATTGGTATGGGCACTGGTGAGGGTGGTGGATGGCAGCACATAGTGGTGGGAGTATGTGTGTGTATGTTTGGAAGAGCACACATTGTCAAGAAGGAAGTCAGACGACTAAAGTCCCACAATCCCTAAAGAGTACAAGACTCTAAGACCTTAGGACCACCTACTAGACCTCACATCTGAAAGGTCCCTCTGAACTCCCAATAGCAACACCCTGGTAACCACGTTTTTTTTATCATAGACCTTTGAGGGACACTCAAGCCATTATCCAAACCATACCAACACACTGAAAGACAAAAGTCACATATCATATCTATCAACACAGAAAAAGGCATTTGACAAAGTCCAGATTTTTTATTGATGAAAACTATTAATACTTCAGGTGCCTAAAGAAAATGAATCCCTGTAATATATAGGGCCTATTCCCAGGCTGCACTTTTTTGTGTTTTTTAAATATTTTCTTAAATTTATATTTAATTATTTTAGTTTTAAAATTTTTTATTTAAATATAGTAAACAAATTCCATGTATTTCATATATACAGATTCAGGAACATAGTGATACTTCCCACTTTAGCCTCCCTCCCACCCATGCTCCAAACCTCCCTCTTCCTTCCTGTCTTATTCTTTCAGTTTTTACAATGACATAGTTTCATGTATTTTTTAATAATCATAAGCTTAACCCTCCACTAAGTAAATAATTCAGCAAACAGTAAGAAGAAAAAAAAACACTGTTCCTCAACAGTAGAGACAAGGGCTAGAAACAATACTCAAATCTCAAAATATCAATTATGTTTTTTGCACTCTATTAACTACCACAGATCAGAGAAAACATATGGTATTTTTCTTTTTGGCTTATTTCATTAAGTATAGTGGATTTCAGTAGCAACCATTTCATTGCAAAAGATAGGATTTCATTCTTTTTTATGGATGATTAGTACTCCATATTAAATATATATCACATTTTGTTTCTCCATTCATTGATGGATGGGCATTTGGTTTGATTCCCTATGATAGCTATTATGAATTGTGCTGCAATGAACATGGGGTTACAGATAACTCTTTCATATGCTGATTTATTCTACTTTGGGTAAATTCCTAGGAATAGGATGACTGGATCATATGGTAGGTCTATATTCACAATCTAATGTATCTCCATACTCTATTTCACAGTGGCTGCACCAGTGTACATTCCCACCAACAGTGGATTAGGGCACCTTTTCCCTCAAATCCACACTAGCATTTACTACTTTCTGATTTCTGTGTGAGAGCCACTCTAACTGGGTTGAGGTGAAACCTCATTGTGATTTTGATTTGTGTTTCCCTAATGGTTAGTGATCTTGAGCATTTTTCCATGCATCTGTTGGCCATTTAAATTTCATCTTTTGAAAAATGCCTGTTCAAGTCATTTGCCCATTTCTTAACTGGATTGTTTTGCTGTTGTTGAAGTTTTTGAGCTTGTTATATATTTTTTCATATTAATCAGTTCCATAGTTTGCAAATATTTTCTCCCACTGTCAGTTACCTCTTTGCTTTGTTGAATTTGTTGAATTTTTTTTCTTCACAGTGCAGAAACTTCTTATCTTGATGCAATTCCATTTGTTTATTTTGGCTTTGATTACCTGTATTTCTGGGATCTTTTCCAAGAAGTTTTAGAGTTTCCCTAATGTTTTCCTCTAGTAATTTGATGGTACCAGTTCATAGATTTAGATCCTTGATCTAATTTGAGCTGATTTCTTTTTTAAGGTGTAAGGTAGGGTTCTTGTCTCATATTTATGCATGCATAGATCCAATTTTTCAAGCAGCATTTGTAGAGAAAACTGTCCTTTATACAGGGATTGATTCTTTGTCAAAGTTTAGTTGGTTACAGATGTGTTGATGGATTTCTGGGATTTCTATTCTGTTCTATTAGTCTATATATTTCTATTTTTGTGCCAGTACCAGGCTATTTTGATTATAAATGTCCTGTAGTATATCCTGAAATCTGGTATTGTGATGTCTCTGGCTTTGTTTATATTGTATAAGATTGCTTTATTCAAGACCTTTATTCAAAGTCTCTTGTGTTTCCATATGAATTTTAGCATTGTGTTTCTAGATCTGAGAAAAATGTCATTGGTAATTTTGGGGGGATGACATTGAATCTGTAAATGGTATGGACATATTGATGATATTAATTCTAGTCCATAAATGGACAGATTTTCTATTATTTTGTGTCATCTTCTATTTCTTTCTTTAATGTGTTATAATTTTTACTGTAGACAAAAATATAGAAGTCTTCAGAAATTTTCATGTCACCCTTGAGCAGAGGCCATGCTAATCTTCTCTGTATTGTTCCAATTTTAGTATACATTCTGCCAAAGCAATCGCTGTATTGTTTTTGATGCCTTGTTAGCTTGAGTGTGATCTAGCATTGTGTCAATGATGATCACAAAACTAGGTGTCTGGTTCTATGCTGTAGGAAAAGGCTGAGAGATGCTTTACCCTTTTTAGGTTATTTCCCACTATATTCTGAATAACACACCAACTGCAGATTATATACAAATGAAAAGGAAAAATGTATCAACAATGGACCTGGGGCAAATTTTGACTTATGGGTACTATCTAGTGTAGAAATAGTAGAAATCTCCATAGTCAAAGAGGAAATAAATAGGTTGCCCAGAATTTCTGGAAGGGCATTCACAAACAAATACAGATTACTATAATCCTACACTGTGCAACAAGTGTCAAAAACTTACAGAGAACCATGAGCTCAATGGATAAAATATATAGAGAGAGCCAACCATCTAGGAATTGAAAATTTCAAATTCTCAGATGAAGACTTCAAAATAACTATATTAAGAAATCTCAGTGAACTGCAAAAGAACTCAGATAAATGATTTAATACCCAAACAGAGAAATTGA